CCATAAGCCAATTAGAAATGACAGGAGAAAGCCTCACCAATAGGATGAACGAAATGGAAAACAGAGTATAAAGACTGGAAGATAAAGTGGATGAACTAGACCACTCAAGCAAAGATTATGAAAAATTTAAGAAATCACAAGAATGTAATATGCAGGAATTGTGTGACACCATAAAAAGACTAAACTTACGAATCATAGGCATACAGGAAGGAGAAGAATCCCAAGATAATGGCAAGGACTAGATCTTTACAGAATCGTAGAAGAAAATTTCCCACAACTAAAGAAAGACATGCCCATACAAATACAAGAAGCATATAGAACACCAAACAGACAGGACCAGAAAACAACTCTCCACAGAACATCATAGTAAAAACACTAAATGTGCAGAACAAAGTGACAATACCAAAAGGTGCAAAAGAAAAACAAGAAGTTACATATATAGGAAAACCCATTAGGATCACAGCTGAATTTTCAGTGCAAACTATGAAAGCCAGAAGGGACTAGACCAAAGTATTCCCAGTTTTAAATGACCACAGATGCCAACCCAGATTACTATACCCAGCCAAAATGTCTATTATAATCCATTATAGTTGAAGAGGAAAGAAAACTCTTCCATGACATATATATGCTGAAAGAATTCATGTCCACAAAATCAGCCTCCTTCAGAGTTCTTGAAGCAATACAAAGAGCTGAAGAAAGGAATGACTATAGCCTAGGGGTTGTAGAAAGAAATTCAATGAAGGTATAACTGTGAAAAAGTTCAGCTATATCAAGAATGTGAACAGAAATAAAAATGACAGGATTCAATGCACATCTTTCATTAATAACTTTAAATATTAATGGACTGAACTCCCCCGTCAAAAGACACAGACTAGGTGAATGGATTAAGAAACATAACCCATCTTTTTGTTGTCTGCAAGAAACTCATCTCACTTTCAAGAACAGGCACTATCTTAAGGTGAAAGGATGGAAATAAAATATACCAAGTGGATGGTACTAAGAAAAAAGCAGGCGTAGCAATTCTAATATCTGACAAAATACACTTTAAACTAAAGCTAATCAGAAGAGATAAAGAGGGCCACTTCATTTTGATCAAAGGAACAATAAACCAAGAAAATATTACAATCATGAACAAATATTCACCAAACTCTGGTGCACCCAACTTCATAAAAACAATACTACAGGACTTTAAGACCCAGATTAATCCCAACTCATTATGAGTAGGGGACTTTAATACCCTACTGTCTCCATTAGATAGGTCAACAGGGCAGAGCGTTAACAGAGAGACATCTGAATTAAACAATACCATATATCAAATGGACTTAACAGACATCTACTGAGAATTCCACCCAAGCACCAAAGGACATACTTTCTAGTCAGCACCCCATGGAACCTTCTCCAAAATCGACCATATACTGGGGCACAAAACAAACCTCAACAAATACAAAAAGACTGAAATAATTCCATGCATTCTATTAGACCACAATGCAATAAAGCTTACAATCAACACCAGAAGAAGCCCTAATCACCACATGAACACATGGAGATTAAACAACACATTCCTCAAAAGAGAAATTAAGAAATAAAAGTATTACTGGAAGTAAATGAAAAGGACAATACAACACAACAAAGCTGTTCTTATATGGAAATTCATAGCGCTAAGTGCCTACATTAAAAAAATCAGAAATAACACAAATAAATGACTTAACATTGCAACTCAAGACACTTGAAAAGCAACAACAAATGAAACTCAAACCCAGCAAACAATACAAACAATACAAAGAATCAACAAATCCAAGAGCTGGTTCTTTGAATAAATAAACAGGATTGGCAGACCGCTAGCCCAGTTAACTAAAAGAAAGGGTACCTCCAAATCAACAAAATCAGAGATGAAAGGGGAAACATCACAACAGACACCAGAAAGATACAGAACATTATAAGGGAATACTGTAAAAACCTATATGCTACTAAATTTGAAAATCTAAAAGAAATGGATAGATATCTAAAGGCATGGGAACCACCAAAACTAAACCAAGAAGAGAATAACAGCTTAAACAGACCCCTATCACAAAAAGAACTTGAAACAGCAATACAAAACCTTCCAACTGAAAAAAGCCCAGGATCAGCTGGATTTACAGCAGAATGCTATCAGACATTTAAAGAAGATCTACATCCAATACTACTTAATTTATTCAAAAAGATAGACATGGCAGGAGAACTTCCAAATTCCTTCTATGAAGGCAGCATCACTCTAATACCAGGTAAAGATACAACCAAAAAAGAAAACTATAGACCCATATCCTTAATGAACATAGATGCAAAAATTTTCAACAAGATACTTGCAAACCACACACAGACACATCAAAAAGATCATCCACCATGATCAACTTGGCTTTATCCCAGAGATGCAGGGATGGTTCAATATACGTTAAGTAAATAAACGTCATAAATCATTTAAATGGGCTCAAAGGCAAGAACCACATGGTTATCTCAATAGATGCAAAGAAGGCCTTTGACAAAATTGAACATGCCTTTATGTTCAAAGTCCTAGACAAAACTGGACTGGAGGGAACATACCTCAACATAATTAAAGCCATAAACAACAAACCCACTGCCAACATCATTCTAAATGGAGAAAAACTGGAAGCATTCCCACTGAAATCAGGAACCAGACAAGGCTGTCCACTATCTCCACTTCTCTTTAAAATAGTGCTTGAAACTCTTGCAAGAGCAATAAGACAAGAGCAGGAAATTAAAGGAGTAATAATAGGAAAAAAGAGATCAAATGATCCCTTTCTGCAGATGATATTATATCTAAGAGATAACAAAAATTCCACCAGAAAATGCCTAGAAATTATTAATACGTTCAGTAAAGTGGCATTAAAGACCTCAATGAAAAGCCTGAAACCCTGAAACTGTTAGAAGAAAACATTGGCAAAAAACTACAAGGTATAGGTGTAGGAAAGGATTTTAAACTGGACACCAATTTCTCAGGAAACATGGTCAAGAATTAACAAATGGGACCTCATTAAACTAAAAAGCTTCTGTATATCAAAGGAGGCAACCAGGGAAGTGAAGAGAAAACCCACAGAATGGGAGAAAATCTTCACCAGTGACACATCTGACAGAGGTTTAACATCCAGAATATATAACAAACTCAAAAAAAAGAGAATCAAGACAAGAAGCAAACCAATTAAAAGATGGGCTAAGGAGCTGAACAGAGAATTCTCAAAAGAAGTAAAGATGGCTAAGAAGCATCTTAAAAGATGTTCAACATCAATAGTAATTAGGGAAATGCAAATTAAAACCACTTTAAGATTACCCCAATCAGACTGGCTAAGATCAAGAGAACAAATGATACCAAATGTTGGAGAGGATGTGGGGAAAGGGGAATGCTCATCCACTGCTGGTGGGGCTGCAAATTTGTTAAACCCCTATAGAAAGCAGTGTGGAGAACTCTTAAAAAACTACAAACGAACCTACCATTTGACCCAGTTATACCACTCCTTGGTATCTCATCCTATTGCAGAGACACTTGTATATCCATGTTTTTTGCTGCTCTTTTCACAATAGCAAAGAGATGGAAGCAACCTAAGTGTCCCTTAATTGACACGTAGATAATGAAAATGTGGTTCATTTATACGATGGAGTTTTACTCTGCAGTACAGAAAGATGAAATCATGAAATTTGCAGGTAAATGGATGGAACTAGAAACTGTTATACTAAGGAAAGTAACAGACTCAGAAAAAAAATCGACGTATGTTCCCCCTCATATGTGGACCCTAGAACCAAATCCTGATTGGTGAGTATGAATCCAGACATAACTACAGCAACCAGGATAATGGAAAGGAAAAAGGGTGGAAAGGAAAAGAAAGAACCTGAAAGAGAAGAACAGTAGGAAACAGACATTAGTAAGGAGATATGTAGAAAAATGGGGTTATTTTAAGGGAGGGGGGGAGGGAAGGGTATACAAGGAACCTAGGGGAGAAAAGGAAAGAAGGAGCTCAAGAGAGGTAGGACCATAGGAGAAGGGTATTATTAAGGGAGAAAGGGGAAAAATGGGGGCACCTTAATTGGGGAAACCATGATGGAGGGGTTGGACAATGCGAGAGATAAATAATGCCTAGCTAGTTTTTAAAACCAGAGGGAACCATATTAATCCAGCAACCTACTGACATTATACATACCAGATCAAGAAATATGTCTAGGCAAGGTTTATCTGAGAATTGGTCTTTGCCCAAGATTTATCTACATGGCACACAGTAATTAAAAGTTCCAGACTGGTGGAACTAACCTTCTTGGATATTTAACAGACATACTTTGAGGCCTATACTAATTTGGTCAGAGGGATAGTTTTGGCTCCTTGCCCTCCTAGGTCGACTAGTTCCAGGGGACTATGAGCGTCTCTCAGAATGTCCTGTAATTATGGTGGGTCACCTGTCCTCTTGATCAAGGAGACCAAGGAGACCCCACCAGACGGACTTGAACCAGTGTCCAGTCTACAAAGAGGAGGGTCAACACAGAGGAAACATTTCCTCCATGCTTCCAAGCAAAGCCAGCCATGGTCAAGCAGGACCTTTGACTTATCTTCACATAGGTGGAACTGGTAAAAGAAAGGAGCCAGGGACTCCTCCCAAGCA